GTAGAGAAGCGTAGTCACACTACGGATCATAGACTGGACACGGATTCTTTTAAATGAAAAATGAATAAAAATATGATGCAGGTAGGGAATGACCTGATTCAATTAATGAGATCAACTTTGCTCTGATTTCTCAAAACAAGATAGAACAGCCGAATACCAACTTTTCAGACGACACTGTTAAAGACGTCATTGTGAATACTATTAACTCAAAGAAGATACTGAATGGAATGAAATTCAATACATGTGACAGAGACAATATGAAGTTTAAGCTTGCATATAAAATCGAAACGCCAACCTATACGTATAGCCAATCGCCCATACAAATGAATTATTTAAATCTTTTCCGTTCACGTTTAGGTTGTGAAAAACATTAGAAGCTTAACTCCCTAATGACCTCAGAACATCTAGATGCACAAGTACCTACGGTAATGCGGGTTGATGGTTCAACTTTCTCCAAATGTGTGCCAAGTACAATACGGATGGCATATGGCATAGTCAAGATCTCGGTATTAAATGGCAACCCCTAACATCTAGAGGAGGACCATCTCTAACGGCAACGACCATGCCACTGAAACGGTTGACATAGACTATGAATATGCCACATATTGCAAGAATTAGTATTTGATGTGTCTTGCTTTCTTTTGTCGTATTCCCTTTTATTGTGTCAAATGAAAACATTGTGTACAGAGACAAAACAATTGTGTACTAAGTGTAAAAAATAATTATCATTTCTATTTAAAAGTAGAATACATTTATCAGCTCCATATGTCACTGAAATATTTAATAAATATTTACATGAGCCATATAGACTCCTAAGGGCTGTCAGAAAACACTAAGAAAGCATTTTGGAAATGAAAAATGTATAAATATTATACCATAATTTACCCCACTGCACACTTTTTTGTGAAGCATTCTGATATCAGCCTTGATAGTGTTTTTCTTTTTGTTTACATGTGAACAGTTATGAATAATTGTAACATATTTGTATTTGTATTGCATACTACTATCTGGTATATTTACTTCGAAGTTCAACACAAATGTTAAATTGATTAACTCTGTTGAACTTTCATTGTATGATATTAAATGTTATAATATACGAACTTAAAATAAAAAATATATTAATTTAATTTGAAAATATAAAATAATTGACAAATATGTTAATTAAAAAATTATGAGTTATTTTTTTAGTATAACCCCTTGGTGATGAAAGGGTTAATTATTTACTCACACATAGCTGGGCGGGGTGTGTCCAATTCCAGCTTATCCGAACATAGTATTTCATATTACTGCGCTGCATTATACAACCAATAAAACCACTCAAGGTCATTCGTTGAATGGTTGTCAAGGTGACAACTTGATTCTACAGATTCTAATTCATTCCCGAAGAGCGTTGTTTCCTAAACTAAGCATTCGATGCTGCGCATCTCATGCAAAGTTTGAAAGAACACATTTGAAAAGAATTAGTCAGTTTAAATCAACAGTGAATCTCCCATCAGAGCTACAATTGTCGTATGTCGTTTTACATTGAGCCCAAAATAGGATATAGAAGTGTATGATATATCAAATAATTAATTCCAATATATATTTGATTTTGTTTGAAGACAATTAGAGAATGCTACTGATTTCAAAGGAAATACAAACAGTAGGCCTACAATTCAATCCAAAAACATTGTATGAACGTATTGATAACAGTAGACCTGTCTCGACCTGTATTTCATTTACAAAAAAGGAAGGATTGATAAATTATAAATTATCTGGAATCTATAGACCAACTGACAAAATTATCTCAGCTTTAATAATTAATGTTCCTAGATGTTATACAATGGCACGTAATGCGTTCGTCTATCGACTGGAAGACAGCTAATTTAATGATATAAAGGTATGGTGTATATAAGACAACGAGATAACACATGTGCCAAGGCAGCTACATGCAAAACCCAAGGTTATTTTTGTCCATTCTAAGCAAGTTAAACTCCCCTCACTCCGTCATGGGAATGACGATTTTCAAAAATTCATCAAACAATTTTCGACCTGTTGTAATCGAGGAAAAAATTGGGAAAATTTGGAGGTATTTAAAATAAAGTCAAGTTACGTTTCAATGAATATTATAATTTATTTCATCGCAGGTAAATAAAAATTCAAACTAATCAATCAATCTGAGTCAATAAATCCTTACCGGTTAAAATATTTGAATTCCAAGATGGGGCTCTGCTACTCTTTCTATTGGCATGTCTATATATCAATCAAGTGAGGATTGCACGATCCCAACAATATTATTTAGGAGGGGGGTTGAGCAGTTTTGCTTCTGGGATTGACATTTGCATGTTCATAGAATTGCTTTCTTGGAAGGCCAACAACTTTTTTAGAAGAAAACATGACAAGCAGTATTTTTACAAATAAAATACACAGAATTTGTAAGCCATAGATGCAAAATGTCACATCCGAATTGGTTCCTTTTACATTATTTAACATTTTCAAAACTACAAGTATGAACCAGGGGGGGGGGGGGGGGCGGAAGTTTTTCGCAATTTTGAGAAGTCTGTGGCAAAAAATGTTAAAGAATCCCCTCCGGAATTTAAAGAAAGTGCCACATCTTCCACTGGCAAAAGCTGGCTACGGTGCAAGACTGCCCATGCCTTCATACTTAAAGTAATTTGGAACGGATGAAATGTTAGTTCAACCTATATATGAATAAGAAAAACTGAATCCCAAAGCACACTGGTACATATAAACATCGTTTTTACTGACCTTGGTTGTGTTTTGACTTCACAATTCAGCGTTTTCAACAGAAATAAATTTGCTCATACTTGCACATTGTTGGGGATTCCCTAGTCAAAGGTCATGTGACTAATAATCAGAACGAGGCTATGACCTGTGAGCTATTCCAATTGAGAGGTTAGGAGAATTTTTTCATATTCTAGGTTCCACTTATTTCTGACGGTTTTCTAAACAATCACTGAATCTCTTTCTTGCTAAAGAATAACTATTATATCAGGAACACATAATTAATAAAACATTATGTAATCACTATGTACAGAACACGAAAATTACTCTTTTCAAAAGTAGGTCACATTTTCTCCCAAGTTTTATATGCAATATTGCTCTGAACGAAATGCAAGAAAATGTGTAAACAAATATACTTTGGTGACGTCATCAACTTGAGTGCAAAATTCGAAGTGGACGATGTGAAATCAAATTCAATGTACCCACTTCAATATGAGAAATCTCCGCTATCCTTGAGTAATATGAGCTGAAGTTACCCCAGTAGCAAGGTAAGACATTGTTCTTCGTGTGATATTCAATAGATTTTGCTAAAAATGCCTTAAACGAAGGCTATATCACTTTAACACTTTGATTATATAACTAATGTTGCAATCTAATTTTGCACAGAAACTTTGAAAATCACGGTCCTCTTTTTCAATATAACCCTACTATCACACCAAACTAGTTCTCACTACGTTCTCGAAAACGGGCTTCAACTGTGTACGAACGGACTGGACCTACTAAGAACCGTTTGGGATCTATTTACAAACTTCATCGAACGTACTCGAACGGGTAGGTCCTCTAGAACTTAGACAATGCTCAAAATGTTCTCGTGGTCGTCACGTTCTACAATTAGGACGAGTGACAACGTACTAACGACGAGCTGGACGTACTACGAACGGAACCCGTCGTACTTCAATCCTACTAGGGACGTTTTAACAACGAGTTGGACTGTCCGAGGACGTGTTGAGAACGAGGTAACACTAATCGCAAATGAGTTTAAACTGATTAAGAACGTATTTAACCCTGCTTATGAACGAGTTAGCAAAAATATAGCTATCACACCAAACAAGTTGCCACTGCGTTCTTCAAAACTGGTTTGAAACTGTGTGCGAACGGAATGAATGTAGCTGCAACTTTCTAAGGTCTATTTACGAACTTTATGAACGTTCTCAGACGGGAATGTGATTTTAGAATTTTGAATCGATTCAAAATTCGATGGCGACCATACCGTTCTGTAATCAGGTCATGTTGACCTTCTAGACTAAGGGACGCGTTCTACGACGTTGCACACCGACGTGGTACGACCTGAACGAACTGCGAACGAGATGGACGTATTGAAGACTGTTCAAGAACGAAGAAGCTAATTATTTCAGACATATTTCCCGACCACAGACAGATTGAGCCCGTTTTACGACGTTTTCGTAGGACTGGCAAGAACGGGCAAGAACTAGTTTGGTGTGATAGGGGGGTTAGTTCAACATTATTGAAAAAGTGAGGAGGTGGGTTACTAATCCATGGCTAATCTCATTATTAAAATTAGATTTTTATTTTTTCATGCACATTTGTTGAAGTCAAGATATTGTTTTAATATAAAATGTTCATTGTATGGTCGGGAAATACCCGTGACCAAAAATACAGCTGTCCAAAATCTCTTGCCATCTTAATACTAGATAGTCATTTGAATAGTAAGTGGTAAAACCAGATGTCAATATATTGTTTGAGCCCGAGGTCGTTCAATCAATTGAAACGACATAACCTATATCTAGTATGTTTTTGCATGATAGTTTCAAATACCCCCCTTGCCGTTTAACATAAATGTGTATGCCATTACGTAAAAGGAAAATCAATCACTATAATAAGAATTTTTTCAGATGAAAAATCAATAACTGTTTTCTTTGTTTCTCTGTATATGTCATTGAAACCAATTTTATTCATTCTTATTTTGGGTGTCGGTTGACTAAGAAGTTTATAAAATAAGGTATTTGAACATCAAAAGTACTTTTACACAAGTCATTCGCGTTTCATAAAATAGAAGATGGATTTATTATTCATCTTTGTGGTAATAGGGACTTTACAAGCCATTTGTCACGGTTCAAACATAAATGGAAACACATTTCATCTGTTTCAAAACAAAAGATGCGACGCAGATAATTTTCTATCGACATTGAGCAATATTCGCTCGCAGACGATCTGTCTTGGAAAATGTGCAAGTTTAACGGAATGCACAGGAGTAAATTATGAGAAAAGTTCCACTACTTGTGAGTTGATTCCTTCGAGTGAGATAACTTGTTCATATATGGCAGACACGGGTTGGAATCATGGATATAAACATCAGCAAGACTGTCAAACCTTACTGGAAAAAAACTTCACACAAGATGGCGTTTATATTATAAGACCAGATCCAAACCAATCGGCGTTCAATGCTTATTGTGACATGCAAGATGGCGGATGGACTGTTATTCAAAGACGTTATGACGGGAGTGTCGAATTTCACAACCAAAATTGGACTGAATATAAAGATGGTTTTGGGGACGTTTCCGCTGAACATTGGTTGGGGAATGACCTCATTCATCTCATTACAAATTCAGCAAATTATGATATCAAATTTGATCTGATGACTCCGGACAATGTTTGGCACTATGCAACATATTCTAATTTCTCAATACAAGATGAAACAGCCGACTATCAACTTTCAATGGGACATTTAAAATATGGCACTGTCGAAGACTTCATGGTGAATGTTACTAAATCAACGAAGATACTAGATGGAATGAAATTCAGTACAGATGACAGAGACAATGACTTTAGATCAGGAGCAAGTTGCGCACGTCTCTACGGTAATGCAGGTTGGTGGTACAATTCCTGTACAAATGTCTGCCCAAATGGCAAGTACAGTATGGACGGCATATGGTACGAACAAGATCTTGGTATTAAATGGCAACCCCTAACATTTAGAGGTGGACCTTCTTTAATGGCAACGACCATGAAGCTCAAACGGTTGACATAGACGGTAAAAATGCTATAAGCCATACATTACACTGCAAGATTCAATATCTGACATGTCTGACTTTTGATCCTTCTCATTTATTTCATTTTGTCATATCAACATTGAGAACACATAATCAGCTGCAACAATTGACCACAAAATATTATAAAGAATCGTTATAATTATAAAACTAATTAACAAACTTATTTGTACGATTGTCTAAACAAATGTGCATATTTTTACAGAAAAATATGGAATGTTCGACTCAAACCTTTTCTTCAAATATAATCGCAGAGGCGTATTTATTCACACCGTTATCAAAAATATACTAAATGTTGTCGTTAAATATATTTTTACATGTAATGCATAGTACCTCTAGTTGTTTCTAGTTGTTTAGATTATGTTTATCGATCAATTTTTTCTAAAATTAGTACATCTAGGAACGTGGAAATTAAATTTATGAAATCACAAAAAGAGCGCAGAATTTGAAATCAAACCAGCCGCTCAATTCAAAATCACCGCTATTTTTCGTACAAATGTAATCTATGATAACTCAAATACCAGGGGACGGATTTGGTTCCAATTGTACATGCTGATGTCTAAAAGGAGCTTCTCAAAAAGTAGTTTTTAAAGTGGCCGCTGCATTTTAAAATGGCCGCCATTTTTTCATAAAAAATATAATATTTGGTAACTCAGACACCAGTACTACTAACCCATTCTAATAATGCAGTACATGCACTCAGGCTTCGCCTTCGTGCATTATGTAGATGGGTTAGTAAATACACGAATGCAATTTATATTTCCAATATACAATGACACATGCTTCTTTAATCCTTAATTTACCAAAATATAATTTGAATATTTCAGAAGCCATCTAAATATGAAACTAAAACTTCAAAGGAAATTCAAACAGTAGGCCTACAATGCAATAGAGAAAACCTATTGTTTGAACGTAGCAACAGTTGAACCGTCTCGATCTGTATTTTATTTACCGAAACAGGAAAGATTGATAAATTATAAATTATCTGAAATCTATGCATGGTGTATAAATGTCCTCGGTTGAAAATAATAATGTCCCAAGTGCCATTTTTGTAAACATCGAGATTTTCATAGATTTCCACTATTTAGATCATCCTCTTTCTTATTGTGATGTTCCCTTACCCCTTTCTCCTTTCAAGACCCTGCTTTCCAGTGTCAAATTGTCCTAACTCCATAAAAAAATCATAAGAACAGTTTTCTTTGTTTTTCTGTATAGTCTTTGAAACCAGTTTTATTCATTCTTATTTTGGGTGTTGGTTGAATGAGAAGTTTATAAAATAAGGTATATGAACAACAAAAGTACTTTTACACAAGTTATTCGCGTTTCATATAACTTGTTCAGATACGGCAGACACAGGTTGGAATCATGGATATAAACATCAGTAAGACTGTCAAACCTTACTGGAAAAACATCACACAAGATGGCGTTCATATCATAAGACCAGATCCAAACCAATCGGCGTTCAATGCTTATTGTGACATGCAAGATGGCGGATGGACTGTCATTCAAAGACGTTATGACGGGAGTGTCGAATTTCACAACCAAAATTGGACTGAATATAAAGTTGGTTTTGGGGACGTTTACGCTGAACATTGGTTGGGAAATGACCTCATTCATCTCATTACAAATTCAGCAAATTATGATATCAAATTTGATCTGATGACTCCAGACAATGTTTGGCACTATGCAACATATTCTAATTTCTCAATACAAGATGAAACAGCCGACTATCAACTTTCAATGGGACATTTAAAATATGGCACTGTCGAAGACTTCATGGTGAATGTTACTAAATCAACGAAGATACTAGATGGAATGAAATTCACTACAGGTGACAGAGACAATGACTTTAGATCAGGAGCAAGTTGCGCACGTCTCTACGGTAATGCAGGTTGGTGGTACAATTCCTGTACAAATGTCTGCCCAAATGGCAGGTACAGTATGGACGGCATATGGCACGATCAAGATCTTGGTATTAAATGGCAACCCCTAACATTTAGAGGTGGACCTTCTTTAATGGCAACGACCGTGAAACTCAAACGGTTGACATAGACAGTAAAAATGCTATAAGCCATACATAACACTGTAAGATTCAGTATCTGACATGTATGACTTTCTATCCGTTTCATTTATTTCATTTTGTCATATCAATATTGAGAACACATTGTCAGCTGCAACAATTGACCACAAAATAGTATAAAGAATCGTTCTAATAATTAAACTAATCAACAAACTCTAATTTGTACGATCGTCTAAACAAATGTGCATATTTTTATAGAAAAATATGGATTGTTCGACTCGAACTTTTTTCTTCAAATATAATCGCAGAAGCGTATTTATCCACACCGTAATCATATATTTTTACATGTATGCATAGTACCATTAGTTGTTTCTAGTAGTATGGATTATGTTTATCGATCAGTTTTTTTCTAAAATTGCATTGATTGCATTGAATGATTGAGCACGTACATCATCCACATGGGCGTAGGAAGGTTTAAATTTAACAATATTGCAAAAATATGAAACAATTTTCTATATCAAAACGCCTATTTTATGCTCTTAAAACGTCATTTTATGGGAATACCTTTCTAATGTGCTTAAAATGTTCGAATGATTTTCATCATATAAAATCACCTTGGAAAGCCGATCGTTTAAATCTCAACTCATTCTCACTTTTCTAATGTAAATGTTATTTTTCTCGAACGATATAGACGACCAATTCCCAGATTAAAATGAGAGATTTTTAATCATTTTTGAATAAATGGATTTAGATACATATTATTGTCTGGTTCCATCGTGTACCGTGAAATACGACAATACACAACAGATTAAAGAAACTAGTATGATCTATCGATTTAAAAAACATATTCGTGATCAATTATACAATTAACCCTAATGTCTGCAACCTTTTTATAACACTTATTCGCAGGATCAAATACCCCTTTGTTAGAGGGGTTAGAAAAAGGCACAAACACCTTTCAAAAGAGTACTGTTGAAAAATCGAGCATATCATATGGTATCCAAAGAAACGTTTATTTAGGCTAGTGTGCTCGAGATTACTTTTACAATTTATGTACAATGAGGAAATATGACTAAAGAACATAGGAAAATTAATAAGCCTTTTTTATTCTCATTTTTCAACACTGCGCACTGCATTTTGACGTCCATTGGCTACGCCACTGATTCATAATCAGGCATGTCTGTTGATGCCATGTGACTTCTGCAATATCTGAGATATTGCTTGTTGCAAGGCTTCACTTTTTGGACCACCCTGTATAACACAAATAACCAAAACTTACATATGTTAGCCTGACATAGAATGTGATTCTGTTTTTATTCAATGAAATATGGTGTTAGCACATGTTCTGCCTTACATTAAGTATTCATGAAAAGGCCCTTTGATTAATTGTTTATGCTAATGTTGATTGTTTTGACATATTGTGTTCATTATCAAAAAAGACTTATTGGATGATTGTAGATAAATTGAATTGTATATTCATTAAACAATTCAATCAGATCAATAGGGTTGCTTATGAATTTTAAATGCGTATTACAATGTGTCGGTGTTGTGAAGAAAACATTAAATATTATATTATGACGCATCTTGGAAACGTGAACCCCCCGTAGTTTTGATCGACAAACGATTGTTTTTCATCTTACATTGACTGGTACATAACTATTGTTCAATAGCACGGTTTACGATATACTCTTATAGTACGAAGTTTTGGTCCCATTTGGATTACGTTTTAAAACTGCTTGAAGAAACTGGGAACTTTTGTTAGCTGAACACAAAAAAACATTGGAAAAATGAACCTAAATAATAGAGAGCTATAATGGATTGATTTGATGGTAAAAATTGGTATGTGATGTGATTTTACCAATTGTGTAACATGTTTTTGTCATTATTGCTAAGGAATACAATATACCATTCCCATAAACAATAATTCACTTATTCACTGGTGATCCGCTCGATTACGCTGGTTACCGAAACTTATCGTTTTGGTTGTTGTAGGCAGAATCCACACGACGTTTTTTCTAACAAACGTGTATCAGTATCATATGTTTTAGAAAATGTACATGTTTGAGTAAAAATATCCCAGAAGACAACAGAATCGTCGATTTGATTCCTCACTTAAGTTACATAAACGGTTTGGGTTAAAAGTGCAGATCTTAACTGTTTTTCGAAAAACCGTTGTAACCTAAGTGAGGAATTAACTAAATCGACGATTCTGTTGTCTTCTGAACTATTTGATCGCAAATATTTACATTTTCTCAAACATATGATACTGGTACACGTTTGTGTAATAAATATCGTGGGAACTCTGCCTACAACGTGTTAAATAAGGAAAAAAGAAAAATCGTACCTTCGACGTTCCGACATTTTGTAACCAAAACGAACCGTTTCGGTAACCAGCGTAATCGAGTGGATCACCAGTGTTATTGTATTACTTATGCTTGATACACATGCTGAAAGTAATGATTTTTGAAAAGTAAACCATAACCACAACCAAAGTTACCATGTAATACTGAAAGGCACATCAAACATTAAAATCACCCCCTTCAATCTATTTAAACAGATTTTTATGATTATTTCACATTTTTCTTTATTTTGCGAAAACAGGATGGTGAATTTATCTTACCTTTATTCATTATATCTGTTAATGTCAAAAAAATCGCGCCACTACGTTTGAAAATTATTCAAATTATGTCATTTTTCCAATTGAGTTCCATTATAAAAATGGAATTTTCAAGCTTAATATTTTAAAACTCTACGTGGTGAAAAGTTGCGCAGTTAGTTGATGTTATGCTGTTAAAAATTCGAAACAAAAAGGAACAAAGAAACATTGCCACGGAGAAGTCTATTTAACATGTCTTTAATCTGTATTTATCACAGGCTGGTATCGAAAAGTTTGTCCGCTGTGACGGAGTGTGCAATTTTGCATAGAAACACTAAGAAACCCACACAATTTATTTTTTACTCAAATATGTTTCGCTATACTAAAGAAAAGTTCTTACTCCATGCAATTGATATATCATTTGCGGGTAACTTTAACTTCTGTTTAAAGTCCAACAACGCTAAAAGCTATTGAAAACGGCGCCGGAGTACACCCTGGACGAAGTGATAAGGTCAAAACAAGTGGCTCTGATTTAGGAAAAAACGAT